AATGGGTTGTGAGGTGTTGACTCTGCAAGAGCAGGGCAAGGAAGGAGGGACGTTGCCAGTTCATACAGTACTGCCCATTTCTAGCTTTTGAAAGCTCACTCAGTCACTCAAAGCGTGGTGACTGCAGTCTTAGGTGGCAAGAACTGCTCTGGAATAAAAGAAAATACGGGCAGTTGGAATATTGTAGACTCTTTTATTTTACCTTCTAGGTGGAGTATTTTAAGTTTGTATAGGCTGAGTTCCTGAAGTTTTCTGATGCTGGTGATTCAACGTGAGGTATAAATAGAGTCCAATGCATTAATTCTAAAAATATAAATTAGGCTCTTAAAAATAAGTAAATTAAGATAAAGTCTTTAGTTCTTTGCATTTTCTGTTACTACATTTTTGGCAATATCTTAAGCATGAATAGAATTCACTTTAAAAGGTAGAGGAGTTGTAAGGAGTTGCCATCACCTTATGCAGCTCGTAGGACTTGCTAAAACTACTAAAACCCCCAACAGTAAGAAACCTGTAGAGCTTTGTAAGTGATTTGGCTGATGGTGGGAACCAGAACTGCCTGTCTGCTGCACGTGGGCAGTCCCAGCACATCGCTCCCAGCTGTGCTGGGCAGTTGTGGTGGTTGTCCAGAGATCTCTTTAATGGGGAGAGGGGTTATCTTCAAGGTGCTGTGAAACAAAAGCACTTAAAAGGACTGAAAGGCTTGAAGGGGAAATGGTTTGTCTTTTCGTTGTGGTCCAGTCGTGTCTGCAAGTGGAAGTGACTCTTCCAACATGACACTTCCGTATTTCAGTCCAGTCTACAGAAGTTTGAGTGAAAATTGGGTTATTTGTTTGAAGACCAGAAAGAAACACAATTAACGAGAATTGTGTTTTTGTTGTCTCTGGGTTTTAGACGTAGAGACCTGTTCCAGAACAGGTGGTATAAAGTTGGATGGCTTTAGCTGTGGGTTGCATAAACAGTCCATTGGATGAGGGTTCCAACCCATGGGAGTTGACTTTCTTAATAAGGTTTTGTATCTCCTTCTATGTTTGATTAAAATGCAGTTGATATTTAAATAATAAAAATCCATTTTAAATGAGGTAATGGGATAGAACAAAGAATATCCTCTTTTTCTCGTGAGACCTAATTACTCTTAAGGAATAAAGTTCCTAAGTAGTAATTTAATTATGGAAAACTGACTGTAGTGCAGGGAATGGTCTAACTTACCAAAAAAAGTCCCTACACTGTGTAATAAACCGCCCACCAAGAATGTTGTATTTAGAGATTTCCTCGGTATTAATAACTATGAAGGGGACTTAGGAAAACAGATGTATGTATGTCATTCTCCTTGTCATCACTCTTCAGTATCCTGTATTAGTTAATGGTAATACTTCTAAAACTTGCCTTTTTTAAGAAATAAACTTCCACGGTTCCTCGTGCTTTGTCAGCCCCAAACCTCGTTAACAATTTGTCTGCTCTCTGCCATACCTAGAATCCAAACTGCTTTATGGGGCAGTTTTGTAGGGGTCCTGATCGCTGCATTGGGCTTGTCAGGAGAGTTCAGTCCCAGCTGGGTTGGGAATATGGGAGTGAGAAGCTGGAATCCCCTCTCTGAGAATTGGTCTGCATGTCCTGCTCCGCAGTAATGCATGGCCATGGGGTGTTGTTTAGGGACTCGTGGCAGGGCATGGGGGTACTTTCACACCCCATTACACCTACAGACTAATCACTGGGCTCCTGCCTTGACTCCAGCAATGTCTTGGACCACAGTCCAAGGGAAAAGAAGCAGGAGAATTGTGAAAAGTTTCCTTTGCAGTCAGTGGACCAAATTCCACAGGATTTAGTGGTGTCAGTTTTCATGGCTTCCAGGTAGTAACATTTCTCATCCCTCAGGGCTGATCATCTCCACCTCTCTTTCTCTGTGTTCCCTCCTCCCTGACAGTTGAAGTTACAACCCAGAGGAGTGGAGATTATTTTAAATTTTAAATTGTGGAATTAAGCTGTTACACAGGTATGGAAGATAAGGCAAGTTGATCCACTTTTGTTATTGTTTGTATAGGTCAAAATAGCGTAGGAATCCCATAGCACACTGTACTGAAGGGTTTCGGAAAAGGGTTGCTCTAAATGCACAGAAATGTTTGCTTTCAGTCCCTAAACAGGTAAGTCTGGTGATGAGGTTTATGCAAAATGAAATGAATTGTTTTCTTCTTTTTGTACGCCCTCTTCCCTGTGACAGAATATCATCATCTTCTCTTGTCTGAAATGTGAATTTATTTGAGAGTGCAGTATACCCTGCTGGAAAAATCCAGACAAGTCTGTGCCATGAGATGTGCTGCACTTGCCGTGTTTCTTCTCTTTGGTGCAGTTTCACAACAAACAGGCTCATGCTCTTATTTGTAGTAGCTATGGCAACTTTAGAAGCTCTCTTTCTAAAGCTGAGCATACAATAAAGTGCTTAAAGTGTTGGTAGGATTAGAGACTCTCGAATATGTTTAATTTTCTCCCTGTGTCTCTGTCTTTGGAGAGGAGCAAGAGGGTAATGTGAGTATTAGCTGGGGCCTGGCTTTAATCTCGCTGACACTCAGGTCTGCTCTGAGCCCCCCAGAGGCTCAGCCTCCCCCAGCATGAACAAGGGGTCATGAATATTCATGGTAAGGGCACAATGGGCAACCTACAACAGAAAGGAGTTTGTGAAGGAGGGGAAAATGTTATTGAAACCGTTCTGCAGCTTCAGCTACAGTAGTCAATAATGATAAATGCCGGAATGGTGATAGAGCTCATAAGATAATGGGGATGTCTGAGATATTATGTAAGCATGGGTGGATCTGGTAATGGAGAAACAGCGTTTGCTGTGGGGTTTAGTGGTGGGTTTGTGTTGAAGGACATAAGGGTGATGGTAACAGGATTATTGCCAAGGTTAATGCACACAGGCATTTCTGCGAGTACTTTTGTGTCTGTGTGGCACTTGGTGAGGCTGAGAACTGCCACTCTGAAAATTGCTGTTATTCTTGAAGGAGGTTTTTTTTTTTTTTCTGTAAGTTCTGTGTTTTACAGAGAGCTGTATATTACGACCACAAGAAAGATCTGCTCCTCATCCCAGGAGCAGAGCCAGGGAGGGTGGTAGCATGTTTCTCACAGTCCATTGGGAGAACTTCGTGTTGCTTTTTGGCACTTGGTGCCATGTCCTAAATCAGACCTGGGAAAGACCTGCAAGGTTTCACCCTTGGTTCATCAGCATTCATGAGCTTGTCTGCTTTGCTGTTCTGAAACCCGTTCTCACCTCTGGTGCCGCTGACTGAGAGTCTGCTCGTATGTGATTATACTTCTTTGGCATTTTTTTGTTTTATGTGCTCACATGTCATCTTCAGTGGAAATGCTCAGTTTATGTAACTTCAGTGTGGCTTGGAACTTTTCTTTTCACTTAACTATAGTAGTGATGTACTGACAGAAGAGAATACATTGATATTCTTTGTCGAGTGCACCTGTTAAGGCCTTGATGTGATGCATACATTTTTTTTGGTCCTAATTTCTCTCCTCTGTCATTACCTCACACTGGAGTTTTTTGAACCTAGAAGGTGTGCAGCATGTTTCCTGGCAAAGTGTAAAGAGCTCTGTCAGAGGAAAAAAAAAAAAAAGACCTCATAGTTGTTAGTGCTTTGTCATTTTTGATTTTCAATTCTGGACTTCTTGACTGTGAAAATAAATATAAACTGCTATTGAAAGGCAAGAGACTGTTTCACTGACCCATGCCAGTGCAAGGCTGTTCCCTGCCAGGTGTGTCCAGGCTGCTCTTCATCCAAGCCCTTCTCTCTCGGTTGGAGATGTGTAAGATAGATGATGTAAGATTGTGTAAGGCCAGTTCCTCTCTTCTGTTGTTTTGTCTGAAGTTCCCATTTTCCCCAGCTGAGGAGTTTTTCCCTCCAGTCACCCCCTGGCAAATGCCAGAAGAACACCATCTTATCTCTGTGCTTAGACACTCTCCAACCCAAAAGACGTCAAGGAGATGAGTAAATTATGCATATTCCTCTCCTGGATGTGAAGCTACATGTAGTAAATAATTGGTGCCCTGCAGGCAAACCACTTGTGTGATTCAGAAAGGGTAACTTGGGAAAGATTATATCAAACAACCTTTCAGCTGCAGAGCTGGGACCAACATCTCTGACACTTCATAAAATGAACACTGTAGTTCACTTGGAAGATGCCTGCCTGATAATCCTGGGAATTTAAATCCTTTGTCTACAACCCTGACATGTGCCTCAATCCTGGCCCCAAGGGACCACCTTAGAAGGTGAATAAGTTGCAGCTTGTGCCCGTTCCAACGTCAGCAGGAGCTCCCTGCTGGTGATCTTGGGGTCTGGTCTCCTGGAAGGTGTGTGAAAACTCCCAGGCACAAAGGACCCAGCTTAAGTAACATTAGAAGTTAAAGACTTTTAAGTGTCTGTGACATTATTTGTGCTATTTTCAGATATTAGCCTGGATAATTTCTCTTTTTCTACCTCTCTTCAGCTTTTGCAGTGAAAATAGTAGTTGTCTTTCCTGAACATGATTTACAGCTTATTTTGTTTGTCAATGCTTGGAAGTGTAATGTTGAAGTGTGACTGATTTTTTTTTTTTTATTTAATCCCATTTGGAAGATCATTGGAATATTTCAATTCATTTTAGTTTTGGTTTGAAACAGTATCTCCACTTAATTCTTGCAGTTCGTTTGTGGTTTTGTTAGGGTTTTTTTCTTAACACAAACCCTGATAAACTTGCCTGAAGTTAATGGACATACCTCATTCTACTAAAAATTAATATATGTATAAAACTGAATATAAATTAAGTTGTGTCATATGCAAGTATTTGCAGGTTCAGTGTCAACACCTGTCTTAAATGTCTTACTTTTTCAAACCCTTGATTTCTGCCGGGTTTTGGGGTTTGAGGGATTGGGGGAAGGCAGAGGGAGGGAAACGCAGTAATAAATCACAATAAACAATGTTTCATCTCTAAATAAATAACCAGTCCTTGACTCTGCCCCCCAGTTGTGAACCAGTGGGCAGTTTTTGCCATCCGGAATCTGACGGAGCAGAACGAGCGGAACCAGGAGCTGATTGCGGGGCTGGAGGAGCAGGGGCTGGCCGAGGGCTCTGCCCTGGAGAGCATGGGCTTGGAGATGGAGAAACGGGAGGGCAGGCTAATCCTGAGGTCTGCCAGGAAAAAGCCCTCCTGAGCCAAGGCGTATTTCTCTTATAAAATAGTTTCCACCGCTCGGCCAGTCAAGATTTCCTCCTTTTCAGTCCCAGTCTGCTGGAAGTGTTACATTCCTTGTCAGAAGAGCTGCCAAATGATGCTTCTGCCTCGCTGTTGTAAACAAAAGCACACCTCTGTGTTTCCTGAACACTTGGGTAAATCAGCCTGTGCAACAAAGTCCTTCTTGTCAGTGGGTTGGAATTCTTGTTTCCTTAGTAGAAGGGTGTGATAGATGCAGGATTGAGTTGTTATAATTTCCTTTGCTGGAGATAACTGTTGTTAAAAAACTCACCAAAGATAGGGCTTCTTTGCAGGCTGCGCTCTCCATGTAAAAGATCTGTGCTGAGTCAGGGCTAAACAATCAAAGTTTTCAGTCATGGGACTCAAATATCTCTATTTATAATCTAAGGATCGACGGGATGTTTGTTGTACATAAATATTTAGTGAATTAAACACAACATGCCTTCTGTGTAATTAAATTATTAGTAAACCTTCTTTTCTACCTTGTTACCTTTCAGTCTTCATGACAAGTGTATTAAAACCAAAGCTGAAGCTGTTGTGGCAACAGATGCTGCATTCCTTTGCACTGGGGCATGTCTCTGTTTTGGAGACTTGGGTGTTTGTTTGAATTTTATTTGTTCCTTTGGAGGGTAAGTCAGCCCACTTTCCTTTTATTTTGCACTTCTCATGGGTTTTCTGAACTCTGGCAGACTGCTGAAGAGGTAGTTTCTCACTGTGATTAATTCTAGGAGTTTCTTTTCACCCCTCTGCCTTTCCAAAACATTGACAAAACTCATTTCCAGTTAATTAATTCAAGAGAGGCAGAAGAATGGAAGGCCCTGCCTCTTCATTTTGGGTACCCTCCTATATTGTTGTTGGACCCTGCCACTGTGGAATGTGGCATGAATGAGATGGGGGGAAGGGGGGTGAAGCCGGGGTGGGGGGCACAGTTAACTCTGTGTGTGCCATAGCTTTGCCCCGGGAGCCAAGAAATGTAACCCTCCATGCACGAGCAAAACAGCAACTGCAGTTCAGTATGGCTGGTG